CTATCCAAGGGTGAATGTGTATATGAATATTGGATAGGTATTCGCATTTATCCGCTCATTAGGTCAGTAAAAATTGTAAAATATGAAAAATACTAAATAACTAGAAAAGGTTTATTTTGCATTTTGAATAAATATGAAAAAGATTGAAGGAAAAAGACTTAAGTACCAAATTGCACCCATATATTTGTTCTGAAAATACATGACAAAAAATTCGTAAAATATTCGACAAATTCTTTTTAAACTTGATTTATCATTTTTTAAATGGAGCTAAAGTGAAAATTTGCTAAAAAATGAGGAAGTACCATAATAAGCTTTGACTAGTTTGCTGTGGTTTTTGTCTTTTTTATTGAAACTAATAATACTGGCTTTAATAATCCATATTTTATCGTCCAGCTTGTCAATATTTTTATTTCTATAAAGTAAATGATAGAAATATTAGTAACTCCATTTACTCTCTATAGCGGTTATTTTTATTGTTAGTAGTTTATATAATGCAGAAATGGTAATTATGCAAAATTTTGCAGCGATCTTTAATTTTGTAAAGAATTACTGGTATTAATGTAAAAAACTCTCACTTACTATCAGTCACTCCAGAATAGATCGCTCTTGAAAGTGGTAATTTGTAGTGAAAATTGTAACATTTTACAACGAAGACATTTTCTATTTGAAATTAAATTTAATTAAATGCTTACTACAGATCAGTTAAAAAGTACCTGATATTTTTAAATCAAAAAATAAAGTTTTTTAAAGATTCATTTGCTCACTTCAATGCAAGAAAATATGAAAACTGAAGCAGACTGATTTTTAAGAAGAGTAGTCTTAATATACAAATTTACTATTTTCACAAAATTTTACCTCATTCTGATGAAAAAATGAAAAATCTCATTATTTCATGCGCTAAATTACAGTGAAAGCGAGAATCGACAAAGTCTACATGACTTGTTCGTTCATGTAATTCAATTCTGCAATGTGCATTTTAGTCTTTTCCAACAATGATTTGATGGCTTTTGATAGAAAGGCACAATTTATTCGAAAAATGACCACTTTCTTATTTAAATACTTCTTTCTAGCAACAACGTCGTTTGATTTTTTATTTAAATCGTTGTTTATGTTTTCTTATGGCTGACAATTTTAGATTATTTTTGCAGTATGCAAGAAAAAATTTATTTATGCATTCACTTTGTTTAGCTGAACTGCCTTTGCTTATGCATTATTTTTCTTTTGGTGTTAACTTCAACAAATTAAGATGAGTTTTAGTGATTAGAAAAGAAATTTTCTTTCGCTGTATTCTTTATAATTTTGCATTTCATATCACAAAATGATTACTACTGAAATTTGAAGAAGTTGGTATTTTAAGAAGAATAACATACAATATGTTTGACACTACATGAAAAATAGAACAAAAATAAGTGATGATCAAAACTGAGCTGTTAAAAGAAAATAAACAGAGAGATATATTTTCTGTTTCAAATTACTTATTCAAGTGATGACACAAAATTCATAATGTACTAAAATTTTAGAATGTGGACCATAAATAAGTCAAATTTAAACTTGTTGCTTCATCAAAGGCTACTGAGTTTTCTTTTATTACATGAAGTACAAAACAACGCTTATTCTTTGATTTTGATGGGAAAAATTGCTTTAGCAAAATATTTTTGTTACCTGGTTTCCGTCTATTTTTAATTCAGTGTTTGTCATTTTCGAAGAAGGCGGAAAAAATATGCTGTTCTAATCCGCTGTTCCATCTCAGACGAGAATAAATGTTGCTAGAGAATGGAATTTTCTGTGCAAATTTTTCTCGGGTTTGCCTAAGTAACCCTTTCTCTTTATTTAAGCCTTTCATTGCCATAAGAGAGCGCAAATGAAAATATTAAATTCAGTTCCACTAAGCCTTCAAGAAAACTTGCTAAACAAGTTGTCTGTGTAATTAACCATTGTGTGAGATTATGAAGAATTAACTGCAGCACAAAAGTAAGATTCCAAATTTTGCTAAAGATCGAACATACTACTTTTTGATATTCACTGCTGGCATGTTAAAGTTTGCTAACAACCCAATTTTTTAAAATATTTTGATAATAAGCAGTTATAAAACAATTGTTATAATTAGCTGATAGAATTTTGAATATTTCACCTGAAAATTTACAGTGTAAGCATATCAAGCAACAACGATATGTTCGGCAACGATCCCTCTCTTTATTTGCCTATTATTACAAACATTATTATTGAACTAACAGTTGCAATTAAATTTTGTAATTGAGATGTAGAACATTTGCTCATTAAATCTTGCTTATTGCTATTTCCCTCAGAGATGAAAATATCTGCAAACTTTTAATCTTTTTATTTTCCACTATTAATTTAAAAAGTTTTAGTTTGTTTCTGACTTTCAGCTTGCAGGAAACTGATGTTACATCAACAGTCAACAGTTATAGGTTTCAGTCATTAACTGTAATAATTTGCTGTTTTACTTTTTAATAATAAAGAAAGATTTAAGTTGACAGTTATTATACCACTGTTTTCAATATCTATAATATTATTATGTTAAAAAATTCCATCTGTATAATATTTACTTATAAAATTTATTACTAATTTGCAAATTTTAAATATTAATTGCGAAATAACTTTAAATTATTGGTAGCTGTCATTATTTCTATTACTATTAGCAAGCACAAAATGAAAACAAATGATCAAATTCAAATAAAATGATACAACGTAATCTATTATGTATTGAATGTGTAAAGACAGAAAACGTAGTTCATAGTGCCAAAAGACAAGTTATTCATACAGTTCTTTAAAAATTATTGATATAACAGAAATTTGTATTTTAATTCCTTCGTGGGAACTTTTCATCACAGTTTGAGGCAGAATCGGTCTTCCCATAGGAAAAATAGCATGCTCCATTTTTGTGATTGCTTTACAGGGATATTGAATTCTCTGGACACTTTGCGAACAATGTTACAAATTAAGGTTAATAACGGAATTATATAGATCTACCTCGTTTTTAATCCTATTATTCAATATTATGCAGATTTACTGCAAAATTTAGCAATATAGTGTGGTATACTTATGTGTTTTACTCATCGATTTGTGAATATCAGAACTTAATTTATTTGGAGGAAAAAATATATTACTGATAGACAAATGAATAACGCTTAGCAACATAAAGAATTTACAAATTGTAAAGGCAAAATAATTTACTTTCTACAATACTCTGAGGCTAATTCACACGAAAAGAAAATGCTTAGTATTCGGAATATATGCTTTCATAACAATAGAATGCGCTTGGTACGCTAAAAAATACCGCTGCATTTGTTACACTTTTTTTGGATTTCAAATCTTACATTCTTTATGTTTAATGAGTTGAATGCATTTTGAATTTTTGACCCAATTAAGAAAATCAACGAAATATGCACGTTATTTGGTTTTTCTAAACTTTTAGGAACTGGAAAAACAATTTTATTCACAATAACAAAATTTGGGGTATGAGTATTTTATTACTGAAAGTTTGTTACTGATACACGCTTATTCAAGTAAATATTTCGTTGCCCTGAAATTGTTCTGTACAATCCAGTAATTTTTTCCGCTTTAATTTTTTTATGTCATTAATTTTAGAAATTTCTAACTATTAAGAAAGCAGTTGCAGACAAAACATAAGCTCTTAAAACTGATTGCAAATATTGACGGACTTTTCAAAGCTTTTGCATGTAACTTATTTCGTAAGGTTTATCTTAATATTTGGTAAATCAGTATGACACTGTATAAAATTATCATCAATCCTAATATGACAATGAAATAAGCTCATCTCATCTAAATAAGGAAATGGTCCTTTCAGATTTCAGTGATTTAAAGAGCATCTCAAAATTATTATCATTTTGGTTTTTAAAATTTCGTTTTTCTCACTATTTTCTAGATTTCAATTTTTGACTGCAGAAACTAAATGCTTTTCAGTAGTAAATTTATTTGCTGTCCTTAAATTCAGTTAGCAACAAGATATAATGGCTTGATTAAGTTTTAGGATATAACATTTGTTGAAGAAAATTATATTTTGCATAATAATTTTTGAAAAAAAATTTTTTTAAATTATCAAGTATACATGATTATGAAAGGTAATCATCAGAAATAAGTTAGTCTTAAAAACTTCAGAGCATCCCAGAACAAAATGATTGCTAATAACCTTTTCCTTTCATCTTTTTTGGTAGCTTTTGATTTCTTTAAATTAGAATATCAAAATTTCATAGAAAAGCTTCTTTATTCAGGTATTTTCTTGCTGTAGTTCACAAAGCAAAAATATGTTCGATGAGCAAAAAAGCATTTTGACCAAAATAAAACCGACAGTATTTTAATTTTTTCAGAATTTTGCCTGAATAAGTGAATTAACAAAAAGTATTAAACAGTATGAAACTTTTAAAGCATTCATGTTCTTAGTTTATGACAAAAGTTTTTCCAAACTATAAATTATTATCCTAAGGAATATAAAACAACCCTTAACTCAATGTTTTGTGTGCTTTCAATTTCAAATAAAAATTGTAAAGACCGTTACTTTTTTCATTTTTGAAAAATTTAAAAAAAAAAACTTCTAAAAAAACGGCAATTAATTTCATTAAAGACATGCGGATTTGTTGTACTAGAAATGTAGTAGCATCATCCTCAATTTTTGTCATTTAATGAAATTTGTGTTTAATTTGGAATACGTATACAATTCTTGTAAGAACATACTGAAGAAAAAAGGCAAAACAAAAAAATACGTAGAAAATTTTGCTTAAATGAAGACTTTTCTATGGCATATATTGAGCTTCTCGAACGATTGCCAGATATCACAGACCAAAACTTGAAGTATTTTTTATTGACCAGAATTCAAGTGATCTACTAGCTGAATGTGTTGCTTCATTCTGCATCGTCATCAGATTCACCTTATTAGGTTTGTCTACTATCTTGAATGATAATTCAAGTTTGCCTTCAATTGGCAGCATGCTTCTAGAAATAATATTTTATCAGTGTTTCAAATGAAAAAGGCTGCAAATATTGTTCCCCTCAATAGATCAAAATTAGAACAGAGGTAAATGAAGCAACAAAGAAAATAACCAATTGCTAGAATTGACTGGATGCAATCACAATGTTCTAGTTACAAATAACTGCATTCTATTACAGTTATGGCTGTGTATCATTTTGCTTTATTACCATCGGCTTACTACTTACTATATTTGCTGTTTTCCAAAAGGATTCACAAATCGGCAAGGTTTGGCTAGCCGGCCCAACAACAATAGTTGTCGGTTTGGTGTTATGTGGCAAGGTTTTCACTCACTATCATTAAACCGATTAATAGTGCAATCACCTTACTTTATTTCACTCAAATCAAATTTGATCATCAATTTTTATTTCAGGTAATCATCGACTGGAAGCCAGCAATGATGCATTCACAGCCTTACAGTGATTATTCAATTAATAGGGTGAAATTTTCTTTCTTGCTTCACAGTTAATACATCTCACAGTAATAAATAATAGGTAATCGAATATACATGGGGTTTCTTCCTGCAAATAAAACCTAGTGAAATCATAAATTGCCAGATTAGTAATAGACCATGTTCTAAAAATGGGAATAATCATCATCGCACACTGTAAAATCCCATATCTATGTACCTTACACGAGTAACGAGAACATGAGGGTCAGAATATCTGACGAAATGGTACAAATCACAACCACCAAATATTTCTAATGATTTGGTTGTATCGCGCAGAAGTGTTTAAAATCTTTTGGTTGTCCATACAGAAAAATTTGTTTTTTGCAGTCTTCTTACAATTATTAAGCAAATATTTACATTTCACCTCATGAAGAAATCACGTTCTATTCGATTTTATTCTAATCAGAAAAGCTCTTGCTACCCAATATACAAAATTGCTCTACACAAAATACAGATTTAAGTTTCATTTTCTGTCAACGCTTTAACGTCGGAAATTCATATTAATTTTATTATTTGAAGAAAAATGCCTTTTCCACTATATTTGCCAGTATATAACAAGTTCAACAATCTTTTCATTACTTGCTGCAAAGTGTAACTGACGTATACAAAGGTGGACCAACTGGATGAATATTCACGTCTGCCTACTATAGGTTTGAGAAAAGTAGATGTAAAAATAATTACAAGTCGTGACAATATCAAATTTGTAATAATATAAGCAGAAAGGAAGTGGAAGGTCATACGCTTTAGCACTTTTACGATGAGTAACTCAATTACTTCTTCTACGTCAAATACATTGTGTACTTTCTGACATTCAGTTTACTTAAAAAGCTTTGGTTGTTCAAGCTGATTAATGTTCAGGTAAAAGATGAGATTGATGTGGTAAATCGTGAAAGTTTACTAACTCATCCTCTGTGCATAATGAATACCAATTGCATCGATACGACAAGAAATCTGAGTAATCAAAATTGCTACCATCATCACAGTCCCATGCCTGATACAGTAAATAAGAATGATATGCTCGAATCTTCAACGGATGAACAAAATAGTTACTCAGGTAACACATATAAATAAATTATTATTCTTCCATTAAGTTCAGTGAATATTTAGTTATAGACTACTCCGCTATATACCACCATGAAATATTAGAATACTTGACTGAAACAAGAACAATAATGGAACTAACCAAATGCATTTAGCCTCCCCTTCTGTTCTTCCAACTGTTACATTTGAGAATGACGGAAAATTCTCATGCATGCTAAATCCATTATTATCATCTTGCGAACGAAATAAAGTGCAACTCAATCCTATGGAAGAATCACTGTATGGAGCAATACGAACAAGGGAAGCCACTGACGATTATAGCAGCGGAATAGTTAGTGGACGCTTCTACCAGGGGGAAACATTTGTACTTAACAATCGAAACCATTTAATTTAAGCATAAAATTTCATGAAAAACCATTTATTTGGAAAAAAACCGGCACGTTTCAGGTCATATGAACATCTCCACTAAATTTCAAAATTAAGTCTTGCAGTGAACCAATGCCAAAACATGACCACTAATACCATAAAAAGTCAATAGACACAACCAACATAAATCTTCCTCACAGCTCTCGTTCTCTTCAATTTATTCACAGAACTTGATAGTGAAGCTGATCACACGTGTGTATCGCCCGCCCAATGTAACTACAACTTACTCCACCTCACTAGATGAAATAGCATATACCAGCAGTGCACTTCTGTTACAAAAAAACAATACCTACCTCAAGGAAAAGGATTTAAAAAAATTAATGTGAGGTACATGCTCAGACACCTCAACGGGGCACACCACGGATGATCAGTATTTTAGATTCCATCAAATTCAACTAAAGTTTACCATTCATCAACCGCTCTTGTCATATGTTTATCTCTAGAGTCTACACTTCTGAGTGCTGACTACTTATGTCATATGCACAATATAGGATGTAAAGGAGGAAGGCACCATATTCCGTTCCTGTTTGCATTCAAATTAAACCATATGATAAAACACTTCCATTCATTTCATAAGCCAACTGATAAATGGACCAAACTAAAAAAAAAGATAAACTACTATGCACAAATTGCTTAAGACATCTCCGTACTTCCGAATAACAATGAATGAAAACTGTAGAAATGAAGAGTATTTATGGAATTATGGGACCGATGATCTAAACAAAAATTAAATGCAGTCGAAGAAATCTCAAGATTTATGGAACTTTGCAAAACTGGACCAAAATGAAGCTATCTGCTTTTTAAACAACTTACTTATTACCTTAGGAACATCACAGAGTATAAAACTTGGAAAACGCAACGTATTTGCTTATTTATAGAACATACAATAAAAAGTGGTATGAGCTACCATCAGCATCCACAGACAACACGAAAACTGAAATATACATCACAGTTTTAACACGACTAGAATGGAGAGGGGATGATACCACGCTCAAATTAAAAAGTGTCGACTAAAATATTTGCAACCATAGCATTTCTAAGACATTAAAAATATGATGAAGTATGAAAATCAAAACAGAAATAAACTGTATCAAGATCCCCCAAAATACATGAAGTACAGCATAGAATTGATGACTTGTATACAACAAAATCTCTACAATTGATACAATAAACGACCAATAAAAATATGCGCATCTTTTGCAACAAGCTTTAAATCATTGTTAACGGAAATATCTTAGCACACAGAAAAATCATCACAGTAAATGAAGCGCAGATAGACTGAGCATCATAAAAAGTAGAGATCAAATGCGATAAGTTTGCCAAAGTTTGTATACTGTAACACTCATGTAAACAACATTGGACTAAATCTTAAAATAAGAAAAAAGTGCTATAAAGTAGTAAATTGAAAAAACTGTGCAACAGGTAGTGAACACAGAAAGAATTCACATGGAGAGATGGTGACAGAAGGCAAATTAGATAAAACAGAGCACATATACATCTTGAAGTGATTAATTTTTAATGTGAAGTTTAACTCTGATAATGAATTGAAGTTTAACCAACACTTTCATTCTCTCGATCGAACAGTTCTACCGTACTGTCTCTAAATAGCCGAATTGCTTTAGCAGTTAGAATATCACTACTTCGTAATGCATGTAGCAATGTCGAAAAGTGTTCACGTATATGTTGTCCACGCACTTGAATGTGCTCCAAGAGACCAATTTCTTGCTTGGAAATAGAATTAATAAGCGGCGCAGTAAATGAAGAGTCTAAATGACCACCGTTATTTTCGTTTTCAAGACTGATCGCATAATTTCCATCCAAAGTTTCCAGTTCCTCCGAAACTGTTTTTAAAGTTTTTTCCGACTGATCCAAATCTTCAACTTCTTTAGCAGAATTCTCTCTATTAATATTTATAAGCGATTGACTTTGTGCTCGTGACTTTATCGAATCCATATCTATTGTCCCTTCTTCACTACTATGGATTGACTGCTCCTGACTAATACCAATTCAATTCATTATTCTTTAACAAAATTGTTCACATCTATAAAACAAAACAATGTTAAATATCTTGTCCAAAAAAATCATAAAAGTAATTCGAAGCGCATCCAATTTTACCTAAATGATGTCGGGTTCATTTCACATTCTTTATTAAAAATTGTGCTCAATTCATCAGCAGTGAAATGCGGCTTAAGATCTTCCAACTGAGGCTCAGGAGTTAACAGCTCTTCTCTAATACGTGAGAAATTTCCACGCTGGCGACCTCGACCTCTGCGATACTGAGTCTTACGCATTCGCTTACTTCCCATTCGAAAACGCTTTGGTGGATATACAAATTTTTCCTTAAAATTCGCACAGGGGACTTATCTGAGCTACATAAAAATTAAGTTAAACGAAAACAAATTAAAAGTAGTAATATTTTACTTGCAATAATATTTCAACACACAACTTTTCGCACAGAATCCATTTTGTAAAAATTCCTTGAGCAAAGTTTATCTGTTGGAATATCAGGAAAAAGTGCACTGTCTCCTATGATTGAACTCAAAAGCTTCTGATAAGTTAAATTATTACGCTATTTGAACCAGCAGAACAATAATGAATGCATCATATTTTTATTTCTTTACCCTCTAAAGTCTAAAACATACTTGAAATAATTTCACTGTATAATTCATTGGTGGATTAATCATCATTGTTGAATGTGGTTCATAATTTTTCGAAAATGAAAATTTTCTTGGCGAAACTGCTCTAGTAAATGAAAGAAGCTGTTTCTGACATTTCTCTTCTCGGTCACTGACATTATCAAGTGACTGGCAGTCCTTAATCAAATCGTAATGAGAACAATATAAGTTCTGAAACCAAAATATCACAGGTTAGAAAATAAAGAGACACTAACCAGAAATCACTGGAATACCAAGTGTTCGAAAAATTTAAAATTTTTCTAATAAACAAAATTTGATTCCAATACGGTCACCAAAAAAAATAAATTCAACATTCGACTCGAGTCTACTTTTTGCTAGATATGAAGAATCCTAAAAATATACATGACGTGATTAAATAACATAAAGTTTATTTCCAAGCATCAATAATTTAAAACGAACAGGTAAACAAACTTCTTCGTGTCCATTCTTTAAATTAGAATATGAAGGTGGGTCACTATATTCAACAAGAGTTAGCATTTGTTCAGTAGCTTCTTCTATATTGTCTTCCTCGGCTTTTCGCAGATCAGATAATCTCTGATGAGCTGAACGCAGATGGCTGAAAATTTCTTTCTGAGGAGTATAGAGAAAAAAGTTACTATTATGCTTACATGTGAATGTATTTCCACTTTCAATGCAAATCTTTCCACAAAAAACAAAACAAAGTTTTGATCGGATATTTTTAGCTTTTTTCTTCCACTTATATGTTATGATTTTTACCATCACGTCTAACAAAACATACTGATTTAAACAACCAAAAGACAAAAGTTTTTTTGTTTTCATCTTATAATTGTATTTTGAATAGGGATTTGAAAATTTCAATTTTATAATAGCACAATTCTTTTGTCTGTAAGCCGGAACTTTTGTAATTTTAAATTCAATAAAGTGAAATTTCCTTAATATTTTTTTTGTTTACGATTACTCAAGACAAGTCAAAATTTTTATTAGAGAAAAAGGGGTTTTAACAGATGTAATATTAAAATTACTACAGCTAACTTCCTCGTGCTAGTGAATATAGATTTTCCTTCCGTCATGATTTTTTTTTGGTCATTTCTTAGACAATTTTGTATATTCGTCATCTTTTGAAATAATTGAAAAATTAGAGTTTGGAAATCGAAAACTGCTAGCAAAATAGTCTAAAATCTACCTTACAGACTGTAATGTGCGCGAAAGGTCTTTGCTACCACCAAATCGCTTCTTCTTTCGATGCAAGTCTTGTTCAATATCCGTAAACAAAGCATCATCTGAATCAATTGCATCTGGTTTTCTCTTTCTATTAAAATCATATCGACTAATACTATCATAAAATATAACAGAATCGTAGGAAGCCTGAAAAAATAAACGAAAAATCAGCACGCACACGAGAAACATGAATCAAGTCTTTCTAAATGTCTATCACCAACATAAACACAGGTAAGGTAACAACGCTCAGAAAATATCAGTGATTAACAAAATACAAATTCATACTTGACGAAAAGAAAGAGGGAATGCAGAGGTCCCAAATCGTTCTGTG